AAGAGCCCAGCACATCAGTGCGAAGATAATCCTGAAACTGACTACTTAGTGCTACATCAGTCTATTCTTTATCATCAGTAAAGTGTTGGAAGGTGTCATCAAAAGTGCTATCAAGCAGCACTGCTCAGCAATAACCTGCTCAGTGACACTCAGTTTGGGTTCTGCGAGGGCCTCTTAGCTCCTAAGTTCATGCATGGAGTCAAAAATGGGCAAAAGAGCTCAACTCCAGGGGTGACGTGAAAGAGATATCGAGGCTGTATTCAACCACGTGCAACATCAAGGAACCCTAGTAAAACTGGAATTCAATTGGTATCAGGGGCAAAGTCTCTGTTGGTTCGAGTTACACCTGGCAGATAGGAAGATGGTTGAGGTTATTGGAGGTCAGTCATCTCAGCTCCAGGACATCACTACAGGAGTTCCTCAGGGTAGTATCTTAGGCCCAACTATCTCAGTTGCTTCAATGACCTTCCCTCCATCATAAGGTCAGAAGAGGGGATGTTCGCCGATGATTACACAATGTTCAGCACCATTCACGACTCTTCAGATATTGAAGCAGTCCACGTTCAAATGCAACAAGATCTGAACAATATCCAGACTCGGACTGAGAAGTGGCAAGTCACATTTGTGCCACACAAATGCCAGGCAATGACCATCTCCTATAAGAGATGATCTAACCACTGCCCCTTGATATTCAAATGGTGTTACCAGTGAAACCCCCACTATCAAAATCCTGGGGGTTACCATTGGCCAGAAACTCAACTGGACTTATCTCAAACACAGTGGCTCCAAGTGCAGATCAGAGGTGAGGAATCCTGCAGCACGTAATTCACCTCCTGAGTCCCCAAAGCTTATCCATCATCTAGAAGGCACAAGTCAGGAGTATGATGGAATACTCTCCACTTGCCTGAATGAGCGCAGGTTCAACAACACTCGAGAAGCTTGACACCATCCAGGACAAAGCAGCCCCCTCTTGATTGGCACCACATCCACTCCCTCCACCACTGACACTCAGTAGCAGCAGTGTGCAATCTACGAGGTGCACTGCAAAAAGTCACCAAAAACTCTTAGGCAGCATCTTCCAAACCCATGAACATTTCCATCTAGAAGGACAGGGTAGTAGATACATAGGAACATCACCACCTGCAAGTTCCCATCCAAGCCACTCACCATCCCGATTTGAAAATATATCGTTATTCCTTCATTGTTGCTGGGTCAAAATCGTGGAATTCCATAAAGGCATTATGAGTCAATTACAGCAGGTGGACTGCAGTAGTTCAAGGAGGCAACTTTCTCAAGGGCAACTGAGGATGGGCAATAAATGCTGGTAAACCAGTGACTCCCACATCCCACGAGTGAACAAAAAAAGGATACTTATTGTATTTATTTCTTCCCCTGATGTTCATGTGTTTAATATTTCTGTAATGGTATTAGGGTCTTCTGCTGTGAAGACTAATTCAAAATATTTATTTAACTTCTCTGCCATTTTCTGGTTGTCCATTATTATTTCACCAAGGAAATATAGTCTCCGAGGGACGCAAGTTCACACTGGGCTCACTTGTTTTTAAGTTTAAAGAAGCTTTTACTACCCATGTTGATATTGCTTCCCAGTTTACTCTCAAAGCTTTTTCTCCCCCTCGTTTTTATTAATCATCTTGTTGGTTTTCCCTGTCCTCTGGTTCACCACTAATCTTTGCCACATTGTATGTTTTACTTTCAGTTTGGTATTATCCTAAACTTCCTTAACCACGGTTGCTTTATCCATTCTGTAGAATCCTCCTTCTTCATTGAAATATTTTCTTAATTGTCCACCACTGTTCCTTGACCATCTTTTCTGCTGACCTCCTTTCCCAGTCCACTCCAGCCAACTCTGCTTTTCATTCCTTTGTCATCACCTTTATTCAAATTTAGCAACTGTTTCCCACCCAAGTCTGAGTCTGCAGCAGTTCAAAGAGGCAGTTCACCGGAGATATTGCACTTTGGTAAAACAAAGTAAAGGCAGGACATATAGAACTGAAAGTATGGTCTTGCGCTGTGTTGTAGAACGGAGTGGCCTAGGGGTTCAGGTTCATAATTTATTAAAGTTTTCATCACAGGTTGACAGG